TCCTTCCAGGTGATTTCTTTTTTGCAGTTTCCAAAATCTGCCATCTCCTGGATGCTGTCCTCTCTTGGAAGGGGCTTCCACAGCCAGGATAGGAGGTGGCTTTTTTGAGCCGTCTCCTGATCACAGCTATGTGGCTTTCCTTCATGTTTCTTTCAAGGCTTGATATCACTGGAATGGGTCCAGTTCGACTCTTATTACCTCAGTTATAGCTACTGGGTGTTCTGTATCCTACAGAGATACAAAGGGTATAAGAAAGGTTTCACTCTGCTGCCTATCTTTTACTTGCAAGAAAGTGCTACTCAGCTTACATTTGTTACCATGGTACTTCTTTTAGTTCTGTTCCACCTCCCCTGTTTGTATCCACAGGGCTCAGGCTTTCCCTAGGTAGCAAGGCCACAATCAATTTGTCTCAGTGATCCACTTCTGATGGAGCAGGCCTGATTGATAATCTGTGTATGGGGATATCTGTGGTAGGTCATGTTGACTCGGGACGATATTCTGAATTATGCTCAGATTGAATCAATTTGTGCAATTTGTCCTTCCAAGTCTTGAATATCTTCAGGGAAGATACCAAAGTGACCAAAGAAGGAGATGCTGCTGCTATTTTTTTGAAAGCATCAATTTCAGCTTCCAGAAGTCTCTCTACAGATATGTTTTTGCCTGTTAATAATATAAGGCACTTTACAAACCTGAGCTGTGTGTAGACTAAACAAGAGGCATATGTGCATGACACTTTAAAGTGGGTTAAATGCTTTTTTCACCGCTTTAATGGTGTCAGTGTTTGCACGTGTTGGCAGCATATTGTGCAGTAATTCCAGCCACTGCAGCAAATTTGGTAGTGTACTGCACCTTAAATGACTTGGGGCACAGCAAGCTAAAACTCCTCCGAGTTTTAGTTTACTGCCCTACAGCCGTGGAGCGAAGCACCGGGCTCCGTGCAGCTCAGGGGCTCTGCAGGAAGCCCTGCAGGCAGCCTGGCAGCAGCCTGGGAAGGCAGGCTCTGCCCAAGGAGAAGAAAAAAAGTGGTAAGCCTGATTGATATTTTTTTTTTTGGCCCCCGCTCTTTGGAGCATGCCTGCCTGAACTGCACGGGGGCCTGGTGCTTCCCTCCATGACTGCTGTGCCCCCCAGAACCCCCTAAACCGGGTGCCTGTGGGGGGGGGGTGGCGCTGATGCAGAGGGAAGCACCAGCTCCCCCACCCTCTCCCTCCCCCAGCCCAGGGACCACTCCGCTTGCCAGCAGCTTGCCCTCCCCTCCCCACTGCTGGAGAGGCAGGTAAGTTCGGGTGTGTGCACCACACGGGGGTTTTTAAAAACCTACCACTTCAGTTTAGGGCCCCGTTTCGTCTACACGCCTTCACAGTTCTCAGCACCCCCAAATGAGTTCCAAAGCTATCACTTTGCATTAGGTTCACAATACAGACTTGCTGGATCTCTTTAGGCAAGGTTACACCGTCTCCTGGATGACTTGGAAGATGGGGTTCCATTTCTGGATGTAGGTCTCTTCAGTGAAGTGGCTTTAGTGGCAGGAAATATCCTACCTCACTCTCTTGATCTTGTATGTGGAGCATTTTGTTAATAAGTCACATGCTCAGCACTGCCACTTCCACTTCTTGGGATCCTGTGGGAAGAATCGGAATGGCTCCTCTTCCGACTGAGCTTTTCGTTCCGGCACTTTATTTGTAGACTTTGGCAATAGACCAGGTCTTCCTCTGGAGGTCTTGTCTTCTGTTGAGAAACATTATCTTTACCTCCTCTGAAACATAGGGAGCGACGCTTAGCTTTGTTTAATGCCACAGTAACCTTTTAGCTGGTGTTAGAGCTGTTGAATAATGGATTTTGATTCAGTGGCTGAAGTAAAAATTAAAACAAAATTTTCAAATTGACTGGAAACATTTCATTCAAGGGGTTAATTTTAACCTTTTTACTCACTCTGTCTCCTTTTTTGTATTTAGGTCAAGTTTGAAATAAAACATCAAAATGAAAAGTCAAAAGAATTTCAAAATTGTCAAAACTGAGTCCTTCAAATTTTCTGAAAATTTTCAACCTTTGGGCTGAAACTATTTGCTGGATTTGACTTGCATTTGTACATTGTTTGTATCAACCTGAAATTTACATTTTTTGGCAAATTGAGTGTTGTCCAACAAAAAATGTTTCCCCAGGTCTAGCTGGCATCTCCTTTGCTAAGCAAGTATTACACTGGACAGCGCTGCTTTTCTATTCATTTAATCTTTACTTTCAGCATATTTTAATTAAATTCCTGTTTTTTAAATCCTAGGTACTCCTGTGTGTAGGAAACCAAGCACTGGGGTTGAAGGTTACTACTACTTTTTTATATAGCAAAAAGTGGGGCAGCTTTTAAAAAATATATTTTTGTTTCTGTGTACAAAAATTTAGGATGAAGCCTCTTAAACCACCAATGTTCAGTGGATTAAAAGCAATATGAAGAGTTTCTACACTCCAGCATTCTTCTGTCTGTAAGATGCTGCTGCCATTGCATTTTGGGGAGAGAGAGCAAAAGCATTAAAGACTATAGTACTGTATTATTGTTGCTGCTTAACCTTAAACGCATTCCTTTATTGCTCAATACTAGCTGGCATGTCCCACCATGGCTGACTTCAGAGTTGTCTTCCTGCCAGGTAAAGTAAAGTGATGTCCACCCTCCCCCATGCTGTAATTGTAGAATCTGACTGGATGGAAGGAGAAGAGATGCACAAGGTAAAACCATGACATCACTGTATTCATTGTACTTATCT